ATTATTGGTTTTGTTCCATCGAATTATGTTCGTAAAGAATCTTTTGTGGAAAAAGCAAAAGGAACAATTAAGGGATTTGGCAAGACGAAATCGAAAAGCAAAACAAATGATTTCAGTCAGGTAAGTAAACGGTTATCGTTTAGTAATATGTGTTATAGCTTCGAGAAGTACAAAAACTTCCATTAGTTTGGTGCATTTTTCATTTTAGCATCCTTTTTTGGTTACCCTCAATTTCTCTTTGTTCAAAGAGTTGTTTTGATGCAAATATTTTGCAAGATTAACATTTATAAAATTAGTAGCGTATATTCGATTTTTATTTGGTGAAAAATGATGTAGCTAAAAATTTGGTTTCATTTATTTTAGTCCAGTGTGTTGCATCCCGAGGTACTCTAAAATCCTTTCGTACTTACAACGATTATAACATCGATCAGTGGTTTTTTTTTCTGAGTATTTTGCAGTTAAACAAAAATGAATGATCCTAATAACAGTTAATTCAGCGCTATGATAATTGTTCGAATTTCATTACAGGCTTCATCATCAGAGCTTATTATCAGTCGTCCAGCATTAGCCGCTGTCTCTGGGAATGGTAGTTTCGAAAATGGTTTCAGCAGATCAGTTAAAGTACTACTTGTTGTTTTTTGAAATTTTTGGTTTGACCTCAGTTTTTTTTTGTTTTGAATACTTTTCAGATAATCAAAACTATGGTGCAAATCGGCAAGAAGCTTTGAAATTCGGGTTGTGGTAGGATGCAAATTTTGTTGCATAGAGAGGATGAAATGAAATCGTTTATGTTTATTGGATTTTCCAAGTTTGAGTTTTTTAGGATACCATGGAATAGGGAAGAAAAACTTTTATGTTTATCTTCATGTGTATGCATTTATTTTTTACTAGACAAATGAATTTTTATCAGGTCGGTGGAGTGATGTCACAAGCTGTTGCAAAATATTCTTATGAACCACAGAGAGAAGATGAGTTGAGATTATGCAAAGGTGATGTTGTTACCGTTCTTGAGAAAAGCTCCGACGGCTGGTGGAAAGGAAAGGTAATTAATAGTCGACAGTGGAATGCATTTTAAATGGGTTGTGGTGAATTCTTCAAAATGGGCTTTTAAAATTATAGTTTTACTTGAAGTTATTTTTTTACTTTTTTTTTACTTTTTAGTGGAACAATCCATGCACGATTTTCTCTAATGGAGCTTTATTACATGTTATACTGTTCACTACATTAGTAATCCACAGTTTTGAGTGATATATTTTTTTCAAATTATTTTGTTTTATCATCTTTAAATCGATGTTGTGTAAGACACTGAGTACTGTTTTCATTTTTCATTATATGTAGCATATATTTTAAAGACTGGAAAGCTTTTTATCAACCATAATTTTTTCGAATATTTTGTATCATGAAAAGCACTAAATGGGGAAAAGATAACATTGACGAGAAAAAACAATTGCCTGTACACGAAGTGTTCTAGGGATTAAAACAGATATTTTATTTCAGTGCCGGGAACAAATGGGATGGTTTCCTTCGAATTATATTGACGAATCTCCTCCAAATACTTTTTCTACTCCAAAAAATAATATCGAAATAGGGAATGGTTTCAACAAGGTTTAAATTTTTTCTCTTTCTCTTTTTACAAAGTGAATTCGATTTATTAGTTTATATCTTTTCTGTGCGGAATATATTAAGTATTATGTATTTCAAACGGTGAGGAATTGTTTTGTAGCTCCACAATGGACTCATCATGTTGCCTTTGCAAAGGGTCCTTGAAGTAGTCGTTGCACTATATTCATTTGAAGCCCAAAATGCCGAAGAATTATCGTTCTACAAAGGTAAGCAGTGGAATGCATATGTCATGAACAATCTGCACTGAAATAAAAGTTATTCAGTTTGATGTTATTCACTTCGAAAGTATGTAATTTAGTACCTTTTTATGCAGTTTTAATGTTGAAAGAAAAACCTAGTAACAGACAGATAAGTGTTTGTTAATATTTGCGCAGTGTTAGAGTTGCGGATTCTGGTTAAGAATGGTGATGTTTTGGAGTGCGAATGATCTCGTCGGTGATTTCTTTATATGGAGAATTGTGTCTTTTAATTTATCTAAAAATTATATTTTATTGTCAGCCGTGCCTTATTTAATATTCTTTTGTAAACAGTAATTACGTTATTATCACCATTTGGTAAACTCTTAAAAAAAAACCACATCGTAATCAAGATTTGGCAAATGCTTTTTTTTAAGTCTTGGAGATTCCAAAACCAAAGAAATTAAAACATTTTCCAGGAGAGCATTTAGAAATCATAGATCATCCAGCCCATGATCCGGAATGGTGGAAAGCTCGTAATGAAAAGGGTTGCACGGGACTTGTGCCAACAAATTATATCGAAGTTAGCTGATCAACATTCTGTTTTAATCAATTTCTTTGTTACTTCTTGTTTTACTTACGTTTAGTTCTTAAAGATTATAGCGGTTAAATGTTTTCGTTCTAGGTAGTGGAGTCAAATCCTGATCCAAACGCGGATCATTTTGTTTCATCTACGTCAGATCGGAGATTGAAAACTTCATCCAGTAGCAACGGAATTACTCCAGCAATTAGAAATGGCAGGTTAGTTTTTAAGAGGAAGGTAAGGGTAGAGAAAAGAGATTGAAATAACTTAAATGGAATTTGTCCTTCAAAAAAAAAAAGCCATAAAGAGTGCAAGAAAAATCAAATTGCGAAGTTTTCATGGCATCTTCACTACTTTCTATTGCATCTTGTGTAATTTTTCGAAGATGTGCTTCTGATTTTTCTGGTTCGTAGCATTTTAATGTTTAAATTTGCAACATTCTTTCTGCATATTGGAAATAGAATGCTTTATTCTGCCTTTAATTCGTAAGTATGCTCCAATAAAGTATTTTATACGATGAAAAATTAAAAAAAATGTGCTGGTTGGTGGAATTCGAACTTTGCCGTAAAACCCCACCATCGTTTCTTTTCAATTGTGTATGGTTAACAATGAGTCTGATTTTTTTTTCAAATCATTTAATATGTATCAACTAATGTTTTTTAGTAAGAAGTTGAAAAAAGTTGACATAAGTTTATTGTAGCAATCCTCGACTTACTGGTCCTTATGCAAATCAACCATGGTACTATGGAAGATTATCACGTGACGAGACTGATGCATTACTAAATGCGCGTGGTGTAGATGGTGACTACTTGGTCAGGGACAGCGAAAGTAATGTAAGTAGGCTTTCATTTCTCAGTGAGGCATATGTGAATATATTGGAATGTCTTAATGTTTCCGTGGATGAAAAAAGTATCCATGAAGAAAATAATGATGAAAGTTTATACATTGGGGCAGCTAACAACAAATTTTGGAGAGGAATTCGAAAGAAGAAATATTTTATCATCTGTAGTATTCTCCTCCTCTAACATTTCCATTTGTCTTTTCATTTTAAAAAAATTTGAGTAAAAACACCATTATGTGACATAGATTTCATTGGCTACTCAAAATAATATTTTCAGCCGGGTGATTATTCGATTTCGTTGAAAGCTGCAGGTCGCAATAAGCATTTCTGGGTACAAGTGGATGTGGCGAATAAATCCTTTAAAATAGGCACTCGAACATTCGTAACTATGGACGATCTTTTGAAGCATTATATGGCAAGTCCAATTTATACAAATGATAAGACCAGTGAACGACTGTTTCTGATCAAACCGCTGCCAAGATGAACGGACGCTCCTACATATATATATATGTAGCGGAGTCATCTAATGTTAACGGGTGCTTTCAGAATCATAATGCTTGCCAAGTTAATTGTTTTTTGAAATATTTCTTTGTCTCGACATTCCCTCCTCTCTTCCAAAACCTTCTATTTAGTGAAAGTTTTTATAATTTTAAAAGTTTTTTTGTCAAACTTTCAGTAACTCCTGCCATAAGTTGAAGAAATTAGCCTGACTGCCAAGATTGTTTTGTTATATGTAGTTCAGGAAAAGCTTTGATTTATCTTGGAAGAAGACTGAAATTATGGTTTAGATTGTAAAGTCAATATGATTTATGGATTAGATTCTAAGGTCAAAACGAATTAAAACATCTATTTTTCGTTTTGATTTTTATGATGTTTCCTGACATAATTATTTGTTACCGAATGATTACGCTTCTTTGTGTTTCAAATTTTCGCAATTTATAATAATATTCTAAACTGAGATCCTATGAAGTGAATCAGTTTATTAGGTTGTGGAGGAAAAATGAAATCCTTCACAGTGTTCCGCCAAGCTTTTTTTAGATGTACATAATTTTTCGTTTAGTTATAGTAAATTCTCATCCTGCTTGAGAATATCCTTTCTGTATGATAATCAAAAATTTTTAAAAATTAAATTTTCAAGTATTCGGTAATGTTTTTGTTGACGCTGTTTACAAAAAACATTATCCAGTTAGTTTGTAAAAATTGCAATAATGCAAATTTCACGGAGTTTGTCAGACAATTACTTCGCTGCATTATATTACCATGAGTGAATTGGTAACACTTTATGCTTTTCTGTAAAATTAGAAATAGAAGTGTTGAAAGCCATATTCGTTACTGTATTTGTTGACAATGAAGTAGACTGGGGTAACATACCGCAGTGTACCTGGAAAGTGGTTTGTAATATATTAATAATTTCTTTTCGATCATTAAATGTGTCAGTTTTCGTTTCTTCTGTATTCGGATACAAAAACGATACAAATTTTTGAGGACAACCATTTTATGCATTTTTAACTTGAAAGTAACAAACATATCAGTCGTTTGACACTCTCTCCATTCTTCCTTAATGAAATAAATACAAGGCAATAAAGTTGTAATGTTATTATGGAATACCTTTCTACATCTTCTTTTTATGGATACTTTAGTTTCTTTTTATCCGAAAACAGTTAAATAAAAGTATCAGTACTTTTGGAAATATAACCATCCATTGTTAAGAGAACTATATGAGCAAATCTTTTTTTTCTGAAACTCAGTTCTTATATATTCGAGAACGACTTTAGAGCTAGTATTATATTTTTTATAATTTGCACATTGCCATCACATCTCTCGTATACCACTATGGTGGCAATACATGATAACATTCCAGTTATACATGCAGGTGGTATCTTCCATCGTAATTTGTTCGATGGCTGTTCCAGTTGGGTCGCACATCCGTAAACATCGACTACCCACCTGTAAGTTGACTTACGCAATTTATTCAGTTATGAAGATTGATTTTTGGTTAGATTATTGATAATAGTGGTAGTATGTATGCATACCTGAAGCTGTGGGTCGTTTAGATTCAAATGTATGCAGCATTTCCGGTTGTCGCGGTTCTGCGATGCACAGTAAAGGATGCTAGATAAATACTGTAGACCGCACTTCCTTTCACGCAGTATCGAAATGAGCTGAAATTTGAAATGTTGTAAGGGTATTACCAAGCTGCGTCATTCATTCGGGAAACTTTGGGAAGTGGTTAGACATTTTTTCAAGTGGGAAATCATTCACGAATATGTAAAAACACTTCATAGTTCATAGTTCTCATAAACTTCAAATAAATTTTCTAAAATAGTCTTTTATTCCTATTATCTGAGAATCTGAGAATTCAGCAAATCGAGATGAGTGAATTTTTTGAAAGAATTATAAATACCAGTTCACGCGTGGCATTTTGATCAGTTTCATAAACACACAGTGAGCGACATTCTTTTGGCACATAGATATTGCAGCATGACTGGAAGAGCTTATCAGCTACACCTCGGCTGGTGCATGGCTTGTATCCTAATTCGGCGGTACCACAGAGAGGCTGAAAAAGGTTAGGGGTACCAAACATATTGTTACATCATAATGATAGTAAAATGAGTTTTTTAAGTGTTAAAAGCAATTAGTTTGTATTTCTCTTACTCTGTGAACTTATAAAAAGTGACTTCATGGATCTCAGATCGGTTTGGTTTTATTTACGATACTTCCAGTTCCTCTGAATTTAAATTAAGAATTTGGAAAATATACCAAGGAATGGCCATGAAATTCTGGATTTGGTGATCGTCTCAAGTCACTTTTCTGTTTCACGCTACGCCTAAACATCAGACTTTTGCGATCCGGACATTTCGCGAGAACATATTTGAAACAATGTTTTGGAACACAGTCAGATGTCCACCTCATAAAACAACATCCTGACGTGGGGATGTGTGGACATTGTTTTAGCTGCAATTCTTCCTTCCAATTTAATTCATAAATTAATAGTAAAATTGAGTGAGATGTCTGTCGGTGGAGACTTTCAACTTCCCGACAATTTGGCTCACTTATCACCATTTTCATCCTTTCTACTTATTTCACTACCCTTTTGCAGGTCCTGGATTAATTAAAATTTTCAACTTGCATAGAAAATTGAAACCTGTTGAGCGACTGATTGCTGAATGAATAGAAAAGCTAATAATATAAACTGCCATAACATTATCAGGGGAGCACGAAATCGATCTTAACTGCAAACAAGATAAATATCGAAGAATTCATCTCCATTTCTTTATTCAATCACATTCCTCCATATTTTTTTTTAGCTGGAGAATTTCATTATAAGAATTACTTTCAAGTGAAATACTTTTTGAAAAAATACATTCAACAGGTAATCAATGCAAATAGATTAAGAGAGATATTATCAGAAACACTGGAGAGGTTAAGTCGAGAAGGAGAAGAATGATAAGGAGTTCCTATCAATTATTCCAACAAATTGACAATAAGATCATCATGAAAGTCCACTTTACACATTGAATTATTGAAGAGTGGTAAGATAAAAAGAAGGTATACTTATCACGATTAATGCAGGTGAATATTGTAAAGAGAAATGAAATCTCTTATTCTAATATGGAAAGAAGGACAAATTAAAAAAATTATACATTTTCGAGATGGATGGAGAGAAAATGATTTTTGTAAATTAGGTGGAAAAAGAAAGGGAAGTGAATTGTGTTAATGGTACGGGTGATAAAAAGAAGACTGTCTGGATAAGTGGTTGGAAATTTATTGCCGTAATAGGGAACAAATTTGAACCGTTTTCGAGAACATTTTTCCTTCCAACTTTAATGGATTTTTTTCGATATTATTGACAAAAGGATTTCTTCATTCTTTCCTTCTCATCACAACAATCAAAATTCATATTCAACATGAAAATAAATTGCCTGAATTTCAATGAAGTAAATACCAGTAGGAGACCTTACCTATCAAGCGAATCTTATCACAACTGCCGCAAATATCCCGTTTACTTGATAATCTTGCTAATAATTGGATAGAATATCTTCTGGTAATAATTGTAATCAGGTTGAAATAACGGCGATGATACGTAATGATGGAAAAATTTCGGAGAAGTTGATATTGGGTGTGTCCAGAATAAACTAGATTATGTGGATGATGATGACGATCCCTGTGGAAATTTGGCATGGAGTAGTAATAGTGTAGTAGTCATATGTCCATCAAATCGACACATGAAAATATCAGTAAAGAGAAATCTCCTGATCAAAAAGTGATCTTCTCTATCCTTAATTTTTCACTTATCTTTCCCACTGATCATCACCGAAATCTCTCTTGTCCTAATCATAAAGAATGTCAACAACAGTTTGCATCATAATGTGAAACATGTCGAAATTATTGTAGTCAAAGATAGCATAAGTCAATTTGCTTTTAACACTTCATACTATTTAAAGTAATGAAAGGATATCATTCAAATTTTAAATGCGTGAAATTAACTGTCGGAATTAGTTTAAGGAAATTCAGAAAAATTCATAAGACATACCTAAATTCTTCGAAATTGGAAGAGGTTGTTAGAAGAAATGGACAAACAATTTTTGAACATACAATGATTTCCAGGTAGCTATTTCATTTAATCTTACTATCATACTATGTAAACAAAAGAAGTGGAATCTAAAAAGCTACTGTTATCGGTTTATCATATTATATTGTACAATGTTGATGACTTGTGTAAATTTATCGAAAGAACCCGCTAAAAGTATCGTGAAAGAAAAGGAGAAAAAACAACTGCGGAGAGAAATATTTCAGGCAATGAAGTTTTCGAAATAAATTGAAGAAATAAATGCATGAACAGTTGATATCTTCAATATGCATGTTTCTGTTAAAATTAGGATTTTTCGAAATTTAAGAAAAGGAAATACTAATTAGGGGAATTAATGATAATAATTTCAAAGAATTATTTTAAGAATGATTTCTCCCAGTGAAAATAATAATTAATAATTTGAATAATAATGGTTTGAATTCTCTTTCCCACTTCAATTAGATTAACATAATTTAACTTTCAGTGAATTTACTCGAAAGAAAATTCTAATGAAATTCACTAAAATATTTCCTGGAAATTGGCTGACATGAAAAACTAGCTCAAGTGGAATCGAAAAGAGCATAAGAGGTGAAGAGAGAAGAAATTTGAAAAGAAGTAGCCGGAGTTTGAGACTTGTCTAACTTATTATTCAAGAGTTAAACATTCTACAACAATGATACTTACATAATTGACCATAAATTGCGTGATTGTGAGCAATAACTAAAAAAAAGAAAAAAACCATAATTAAAATTACACAATTCTACTATATAAATCAAGAGAAAGTATGACAGAAAATAAAGAGTAAGAAAGAAAAGGGGAAATGCTAATCACTGGATTCCATTTCCGGTCCATCGATTGGATCCATTTCATTTGGCCCCATATAACGACAGGATTTTTGACTACTTGTCGATAAGAATGTCCGGTAACAGTTAGCATTTGTTAGACAATCCGGCAGAGTACCCAAAACTGCCGGCAAGATGATAAGTCCATGCAATAAGCTCCACGATACCACAAGGATAATCGTTTTGAAAAAGACCATTGGTGAATAACTCTACAATTCAAAAATGCAAAAAAGAATGTTCAAATGTTACAACGATGTTTATAAATTGTAAATTTTATCATTTATAACAAGATATGGTTAGAATTTATTTCTGAGCAATTTATAGGCCAATTTTACAACAATTTGTTAAATCCAGCAGCTAATTTCAAATGCAATTAGTTACAAAACTGTTTACTCTCTATTCATTTGTATGCATGAAATTTCATTGTCATAAAATAATTAAAATAATTGAAAGTTGATTGAGAACTGAAATGAAAATTCAGAAAATCTAGCATACCTGCAAAAAAACAAGTGGTAAAACGCACATCACTGTCGATGCACCAGCTTGGATCATTGGCCAGCCAACACTTTCCAAAGTATGCTGGAGCTTTTCGTGTGGCCCTTTAATTGGTATTTTCACAATTTTTTTATTTCGAATCTCTCGTCGATTCGTTAGCTGCAAAAATAATCAATTTTGAAATAATCCAAAACATTATGATTGTTTGTTTTGTACAAAAGATAAATGGATATAATACTGGTTAAGTAATTAAACCGGAATGATTAAACAATTCAAGCATAAATCAGGCACACACGCAAAGATCAAACATTTGTTTGAATTAATCACCTGATAGTGATAAGAGACGTGAGCGGTGAAATCCACTGATAAACCAATAGACATTAAAACTGCAACCGTTGTTACCGGATCCAGATCAAAATGCCACCAAGATAGAAATCCAAATACACCTAAATAGCAGAAGATGTAATCAAGTTACTATGTAATCAAGTTAGTTGTAATCAAGTTAGCTTCTAGTTACTAATTATTACAGAGATTGATAAAATACTTTCCTGCAGGACAATTACCTAAACAAATTAATTACTGCTTAGAAGGCGATTACTTAAGGGAAGTAATGTCCACAATCATATAGATAGAGACTGATCAAACGTCCAAACTACATCACTGTTGATTTGGAGGATTGATAACTGCTTAAATAAATAACTGATCTATACAAAGCAAAGATTTGAGATTAAATAAGCATCTAAAATACGAACAAGAAGTATCGAACCACAAACATCTACTAACAAATATCCAACAAATCATAATTTGAGCTACTGTACCTACTTTAACAACAACAGTATCTTTTACCGAGACTTATGGAAGCAATTGCGATAGAAGCCGTTATGATACTACACGGATTCGGAATAAACAACGCACATACAACTGCCATACAGATTAATGTTAATGTCCCGGTCTGGAATAATATATCATTCATTATCAATAGCAGTAATCTTGTTTGATTGATATATTCAGAGGATAATTGACACATCCGTTGAATAAAATTTTTTCAGTTTTTAAGATAAGTCTTTAAGGAATAATCTTTCAACAACTATCTATAGATCAGTTATTTACATCTAACACTAACTTGTATAAACAATAAGTGAGTCAAATAAGTGGATAATTAAGTAGTCCAATTAAAATTAAACTTTATGACAATGTGAATTATCTTGTACCTGTATCGCAACTGTTTTCAAACTAAGCATTTGGTCCACAAACATTCCATTAGCTTCCCAAACTGTCACATTTAAATCCTTAAATCAAAAAATGATAGAGGAATGTTGATTTTTGTTTATTTTAGAAGAATAATGCAGTTCTGATATTATGGAATTTCTGATTATTTGATTTGAAATGAATATTCCCTTGATATTATTAGAGGATAAATGTTTTACTTTGTAATCATCAGCAATCTTACGCCATTTCTCCATTAACTCAATTCGTACTTCCCATGTTGATGTATTTTTATACGCGACAATAAACCAAAAACGGTTCACTCGAAGTCCATCTCTATAATGAATGCAACGTATCATACATAATTATTACATATTTTATGTAGTGAAAGAGTAATATTACCAAATTTCAAAAATTTTAAAATTGATTTCTAATTTCGAAAATAATTTATTTAACAATTTACTTTGTATTAGCCACGATCATACACGTATTCCAGTGTCCATAAAAGGGTGAATCGAGAAAACTTTCCAGTTTGTCAAAATCAAGACCTGTTTCAGAATGAGAAACTTTACTGACTGACTTAGTATCTTCCAAATAAAGAAATGACCACAATGATGATAAGGGATCTCCATGCTTATAAAAATGCTCATAGTCACGAAGCCATAGTAATGTTGAGATATTCCCTAAAAAGTTATAGTTAGTCAGAAAGTTGAGTAAAATCCGACAATTTCACTGAATTTCTAATTAAATCTAATGTGAATTTCACACGAAATAATATTTAATTCCTTGTATTTTAAAAAGCTTTTAGGCCTGGCATATCTCTCTTATGTTAACTTACCTCTGCATAGTGGTAAACTTTCAAAATCATCGACAAGTTGCCAAAATCGTTGCAATGGTTGTCGTTGCCGGATATCCAATGGATTATTTACAAGTACTGTCACCGGATGATATTCATCCCAAACTGTAAATCTGTACTTTAGCCAAGAAAGTGGCATGAAAATGATACATAATTTAGCATGTTCAAATTATAGAGGACAATACTTGAACGTAAGGAGATATGACAGTACCACTGGTCAAGCAAAAATACATTTCATTTTTAAAGACTTTTTTTCCGCAATAAAAAAGGATTAAATGTGAAGTGAGCTTGATAAGAAATTAAAAAAGAACAACGTACTTATATCATTAAGTATTCGATTTGGCCTTTGTATCGGTGAGTCTCGGGGTAAAATTTTTACCGTATCTAGTCTAGTTTTTATATTCAGTGCTCCGATAATAGCAAAATACCAGTAAATAACTACTGCAATAGATAAAAATACCGTGAAACAGCGATTTTCAAGGATATGACAGTACATTCTTAGTATCCATTTCATGAAGATATCAATCTAAAACAATTGGATAATTAGTGAAATCTTTAAAAATAAGCTTCATTGACCTGTGTAATTTTGACTACTCCAAACTTTAGATATGAATTTTAGAATTTTAAAATTCAAGATTTACGAAAATCCTCTCTTAATCTTATGAAAAGTTTTTTTCTCTCCTTACACAATTACATCATTAACTTATAAAGCATATATACGATGCTGAACATGATACCACTGATCTAACTTGCAATGATCTTTAACAGAAATTAATGAAACCTGTAAACGCCATCCATATAGTAAGGGTTTTTGGGGACATGATGACATCGTGTACTTTTTATTACGTTTTTCGCAATGTGAAGCTAACGCCAATACAGGTCCAAACAAATTAATTCATATAAATAATCCAATCCCATTGCAATAGCTGTTGATAC